AAAAAAATCCTGCAGCACACAGTGTGTAATGAGAAAAAAACTGATCGTTTTTTTGGATTAAAACGCCGAGTTTGAGATGTATTTTTGTATAGTATTTATCGTTGTATTCGCGTTTTCATGGTCTTAGGTGATAAAATGGAAAACATATTACAGAAATAGAGATGATTTTTATTAATTTGATGATGAAAACAACCTTGAGACTGAGCTCAAAGTAGTGGAAATGTTCGATTTTTACCAATGTTCAGGAGTAAACAAATCACACCACACGTCCAATACACATCAACTGGGGAGTCTAATATTCTTTCACTAGTGCACTGATATTATTTATACCATTTTTACAATAATGCAGTAGTCTGCATAACAGTAAATTTTGTATTTTTTTGTATGAATAAAAAATCAAAATAGAAAGCAATAATAATATAAGAGGGGCCTAGAGATGTGACTAATGAACAGAGGATATGCTATTTTAGTGCCAAGAATGTCTACCTTGTTTATTCTGGACCCTATTTTGAAATTGGCATCTTTTTTATTTTGCGTGAAATTGGCCAAATTGCCAATTTGTGACCACTATATTGGGTAATTCAAATTGGTAAATGGGCGGTTTCTTGTACTCAGCTGATAGATAAAATGGAGTTCTAAAGAAATAGCTATGAGTTTGGTCAACTGGAACAACGGAATTGGCTGAAAAGAGGGCTCAAAGTCAGCGAAATCGCTGACATGCACATGTCGCCGAGACCGCTAACTTTGCGGGAGCGTAATTCCATGAGTTTTCAACCAAATTTTGATTGGTGTCATTACCATCGGGAAAAGATTCTCTATCATTTCATAAGAATTTTTTTTTTTTTTTTTTTTTTAAATTTATCGACATAGAATGACAGTTTCAGAAAGGGGCCTGCGACAGTCAAAGGGTTAAATCACTATTACATACCTTTATTGAAAACTCTTGTTGGCTTATGGAAGACAGGGAGGAGGAGAGAGGGAGTTGGGGTTATTGTTTGGAAGGGGAATCCCCCTCCATAATAACCTCAGGTAACAAGTACCTCTCTGGGGTTACTTCCCTTCTTTGTCTTTTAATGCCACTAGGACCAGCTTGAGAGTCACTGCACCCCTGTCGCACAAAATATCTGTCCAAAGAGGTCTGTTTCTGGAGTCTCTAAGATTTCCCTGAAGTGGGACAAGGTTTTGTCACTGAACATGTTGCAGGTATGGCTTGTTTCAGCTTGGTCAGGGTGATATTTCTCTACAAAAGCTTGCACCCTACTCCACATTGCACAAATCTCCTTAATCTCTGAAGAAGGCACCGCCTTCCCTCCCTCTTCCTCCTCCTCTGAAGCAAGTTCCTCAGCTGTGGTCTGTTGCTGTACCAGATGAAGCTATTGCAGCTCTTCAGTGGTAGCTCTTCATTGTGGTCCTCCGCCAACTCATCCACATCCTTGCCACTAATCTCCAACCCCATGTACTTCCCCAAAGACACACTAGATTCCACAACAGGCATAGGGTCCTCAGGGTCAGCTCTAAACCCTTCAAAATCCCTCTCTTGGATACAATCTGGCCACAATTTTCTCCAAGCAGAGTTCAAAGTCCTGGAAGTCACTCCCTGCCAAACTTTAACTATAAGGCTTATGCAGCGGAGGATATTGAAGTGATTCCTCCAGAACTCTCTTAGGGTCAAGTCACTTCAAAGCACCTTTGAAACACTGCTTAATTGTAGAGTTTTTTGAAGTTAGAAATGACCTGCTGGTCCATAAGCTGGCTGAGAGAAGTGGTGTTAGGAGGCAAGAACCTCACTGCTATAAAACAGAAGTCCCTAAGCAACTGGTCTTCCAAGTCTGGAGGATGAGCAGGAGCATTGTCCAGTACCAGGAGGCACTTGAGTGGCAATTTACGTTCCAGAGGGTATTTTTACACACGGGCCAAACACATCATTGACCCACTCTTTGAAAATGTGCCTTGTGACCCATGCCTTATTATTAGCTTTCCTCATCACACACAATTTACTCATGATAACATCGTTTTTCTTGAACAGTCTGGGATTTTCAGAGTTATACACCAGTAAAGGCTTCACTTTGAAATCCCCACTAGCATAGCACAGAACAAAAGAGTAAGCCTGTCTTTCATAGGCTTGTGTCCTGGCAGTGCCTTTTCCTCCTGTGTAATGTAGGTCCTCTTTGGCATTTTCTTCCAAAAGATGCCTGTTTCGTAACAATTGAACACTTGTTGGGGGAGAAATCCTTCAGCTTCTACATACCCCTTGAATTCCTGCACAAATTTTTCAGCTGTACATTTGTCAGAACTTGCAGCCCCCCATGCCTTGCCACACTGTGTATGCCACTACACTTCTTAAATCTCTCAAACCAGCCTTTGCCGGTCCTAAATTCATAAACAGCAGCACTTGTTCCGGGCATTTTCTTTATAAGATCCGCATGCAACTGCCTTGCCTTCTCAAAAATAATAGAGTCCACAGCTCTATCTCCCGCTAATTGTTTTTTGGTGATCCACAGCAACAATAACTTCTTATCTTCCATTATCGGTGACCTTTGTTTTATTAGCACATTTACTCCTTTTGCAACATTAGCTTCCTTGATTTCTACTTTCTTTGCCAGGATAGAAGTGATTGTTGATTTTTTTCCTATACATCCTGGCAAGTTCTAGCACTCGAACACCACTCTCATACTTTTCAACAACTTCTTTCTTAAATTCCATCGTGGTTCTCACTTTCTTTGCCAAAGGAATTTTACTAGGAACTTTCTTTGGGGGCCATGGTTACTTATTTCGCATTTGCACTTAATCAATAACCATGAAAAACAATGAATTATAGTGAAATGTTTGGATGAATGACCAGAAGCTTCCTCACTCGCCCAGAGACAAAGCCAGATTGACGCATGAGCAGCTGGCAGCGACGGGTTGACACATCCCATGCAGTCAATAAACATAATAACAGCTGATAACTGGAAGCCGAAAAACCAGCCAATAACCGAGTTGGCCGATAAGCGGAACAGCTGATAACCAAGGGTCCACTGTACAGTGGACCCCCGCATACCGATTTTAATCCGTGCAAGAGGGCTCATTGGTATGCGAAATAATCGGTATGCGAATGAATTTTCCCCATAAGAAATAATGGAAATCAAATTAATCCGTGCAAGACACCCAAAAGTATGAAAAAAAAATTTTTACCACATGAAATATACATTTTCCTATACACAAAGAGAAGGATACATGCACAATAGTAGAGTAGTACATGCACAGTATATATTGTGCATGTACTAGTCTACTAAATGAAGAATAAATGACACTTACCTTTATTGAAGATGTAGCAATGACTGATGAGACACTGTGTCCTGGGAGTGCCTTTTCCTCCTGAGTACTGTAGGTCCTGTTTGGCATTTTCTTCCAGAACATGCCTTATCACACTGTGTATGTCACTACGATTCTTAAATCTCTCAAACCAACCTTTGCTGGCTTTAAATTCACCAATATGAGCACTAGTTCCAGGCATTTTTCCCTGTTCACCTGGGTGTTAGTCGACTGGTGTGGGTTGCATCCTGGGAGACAAGATTAAGGACCCCAATGGAAATAAGTTAGACAGTCTTCGATGACACTGACTTTTCTGGGTTATCCTGGGTGGCAAATCCTCTGGGGTTAATTGTTTCTTGGTATATTCTCAATAAGCCACACCAACAACAGTGCTACAGCAGCAGCAGACGATGCTACAGCAGCAGCAGACGATGCTACAGCAGCAGCAGACGATGCTACAGAAGCAGCAGACGATGCTACAGCAGCAGCAGACGATGCTACAGCAGCAGCAGACGATGCTACAGCAGCAGCAGACGATGCTACAGCAGCAGCAGACGATGCTACAGCAGCAGCAGACGATGCTACAGCAGCAGCAGACGATGCTACAGCAGCAGCAGCAGCTGACAGTGCTACAGCAGCAGCAGATGATGCTACAGCAGCAGCAGATGATGCCACAGCAGCGCAGATGATGCTACAGCAGCAGCAGCAGCTGACAGTGCAGCAGCAGCAGCAGCTGTACCACCAATAGTAGCAATGGTTGATTGGGGTTTATTATACAACCTGGCCAGCTCGGAGACACGCACTCCACTTTCATACTTATCAATGATCTTTTTCTTCATCTCTATAGTAATTCTCTCCCTTATTGCTGTAGGGTTGGCACTAGAAGCTTTCTTGGGGCCCATGGTCACTTATTTTCCAGATAAAATCACCAAAAACACTGTAATAATACGAAATGTTACGATTGTATGCTTGGATGCTACCGCGGAGGCTGGCTGGTAAACAATGCCACCGGCGGAACATGTGAGGCTGGCTAAGGCGCACATTGGACACGTCTCGGACGAACAGCGGTGAGCGGGTTTTTGAGCGGTATGCGAGGCAAAATATTTGCGATTAAAGTGAGCGGTATGCGGAATAAACGGTATGTGATGCCAACGGTATGCGGGGGTCCACTGTATTAGATATACAGTGGTAGCTCGAGTTTCGAACAGCTCCCAACTCAAACAATTATGTAAGTGTGTTTTTGGAAGTGCTTTTGTAAGTGTATTTTTGGGGGTATGAAACGGACTAATCTAATTTACATTATTTCTTATGGGAACAAATTCGTTCAGTATCGGCACTCGAACGGTCTTCTGAAACAAATTAAGTTAGAATCCTCCACTGGTCCGCTCTATCCAGGCTTTACAAATTCAATTACAAATCCTTAGGTCTTTATGCAGTACAAAATAATGTTGTTTACATGTTATAAAACATTGCTTGGCACAAAATAAAGCCACTAGAAACCAATTATAATAAATGATAATTGAGATTTAGACATAAACTATTAAGATTTCTTGTGCAGTTAATAACAATTATATGTACAATAAGAAAAGTGGGTAATGAACAAATGTACTATACTACTTAAACTGTAGTCAGTGTATAGACTGTATTTGTGTTGTATTTGATACATTCTGGGTAAGACTTGTGTTACATTACCTTGTATATTACAGCTACTTTATTGATCACATCAAGAAGCAGACATCATGGGAGGACCCACGACTCAAGACTGCTCCCCCGCCACCACCCCACCCAGACACCCTGCCGGCAGAGCTGCGGGTGCAGCAGGAGACCCAGCTACTGCCTCACCACCAGGTACACCAGTGTAACAGCTACTGCCTCACCACCAGGTACACCAGTGTAACAGCTACTGCCTCACCATCAGGTACACCAGTGTAACAGCTACTTCCTCACACCAGATGGATCATAAAAACTGGAACTGACCTCTGCATGACCCAGATACATGATCTGTGTCAAGTAAGGCAACAACGGCACTTCATTGGTCCATGGGATATTACCCCATTCCAAATCACTATCTCTCCCTTCCCCCCCCCCAAAAAAAAAAAATTAAATCACAAGGAAAGCCTTGCCTTGAAGCCAAACAGAATGCCTAAAGCTTATTTACCTGGAGTTTACCTGGAGAGAGTTCCAGGGGTCAACGCCCCCACTGCCCGGTCTGTGACCAGGCCTCCTGGTGGATCAGAGCCTGAACAACCAAGCTGTTACTGCTGGCTGCACGCAATCCAACGTACAAGCCACAGCCCGGCTGGTCAGGTACCGACTTTAGGTGCTTGTTGTTGCAACCCCTAAATGGGTTGCAATGATTATTATGTATATATATAATTATTACCTTTTCATATAATTTTATATTGCTCATATATGCGATAATAGCTAAATCGTAAATGTATTGCTTTATATTGTTATTTGACTTAGCTTCCTTTGGTTAGGTAGGATGTAACATATGTGCTCAGTTCAAGTCTTGATTGTCTAACTACTGTAATTATCGCTCTTTGCTCGTTAGACTGCCGGCTTCTGTTTCTGAGCTGCAGCTGTCCACGGAGCTATCACGTGATCAAGGGGGGGGGTGTCCTCACCTCGCCTGAAGTATTCAGTCTGGTCTAGACTCTCTTGGTGGTTGGATAGATCGTCTGTCTCATTATTTTTGTTAGTTCTTTTAATTGTTCACAAACTTTGTATAACTTAGTGATTTTTACTTATACTGGGGTTTGTGTGTCCAAAGACCCTGACAACTCGGGTCCTGAGCTTCTTCTGCCCTAACTTGTACTGGTACTGTGTATTAAACACAGTCGGGGATTTTTTTAGATCAGTATATGGGGTTTTGAGATTTTTGTGGAGGATCTGCAGAGGTCCCTATTTAGTGTCGTTAATTACTCCTTTTTCCGATTCGTGTCGCAGTTGCTTGTTAATTGCTTTTGGGCTTAGCATTCTTTTTATTGTTCAAGCAACTTTTTCTGACTGCCATTGGGTCAAGAATTATTTTTTTGGGGACTTTGTCAGTCACTTGTTTAAGTTTTATCGAGTCGTGAGCATAGCGAACTACATTTAGAGCACTTACACACATACACTCAAACTTACTTGTCATATTTTTAATATCTTATTAAATTTAATGTACCAATGGACTTAAAATTAAATTGGATATGGCTTTCAGCACAATACTATGTACACAGAGAATGATTATTCTTATTTTGTTGATTACTGTGTTTAATTTAATTTAATTTGTAATAACCTCTAACTTAAAAAATTTATTAAATTTTAATTTCCTATTAGAAGCCTACCATTGTAATCCTGAAGCACTATTGAATCATACAAATTTCTAATGGAAAATTGGACAAGGAACTGACTACTTGTTACAAAACCCAGTAACAGGCGGATGCTAAAAGGGGCAGTCCTTTCTAGTATTCACTGGAGACTTAAGTTTTTAGAATCGCGTTTTTGTAACACTTTCCTGCCAGCTTGAAGACTCCCCGGGGGGTCTATTGTAGTCCCCCTTAGTATGCGGGGAGCAGTTAACAGTCTCGGCCCCTACACTTATTGTATTTCTTTTAACGTCTATGACACCCCTGCTTTTATTGGGGGGAAATTTTGCATCGCTCCCAAAGTCTTTTGCTTTCGTAGTGAGTGATTTTCTTGCAATTGGGGTACTAGTCCCCTAGGTTTTTCCGGGTGTTTTTAAATCAGTATCCTCCCCCCTGTGTTCCAGGAATACAGGTTCAGGAACTTTAAGCCCCCCAAAAATTGGGGTTTTTTATCCCCCTTTAGCAACTGTGAAGGTTCTCTGTACATTTTTTTTGGGTCGCAATTTCCCTCCCTTAAAAGGGCTGTTAATGTCAGCAATATTCCGCCTAGATAGAACAAGCGACCTGAAGAGTGTCATCAGGGCTTGGCACCCCTATTTTTGAAGGTTTCCATTATCCATCCTGTCATTTTTTTCTAGCGCTGCGTTGAACAATTTTATGGCCTTGAAGGTGAGATCCCCCACATTCCCCCAGGTCTTTGACGTTGGTTTTTTCGCTCTTTTTTTTTGCCGGAATTTGTTTTGTACTCTGATGAATTTTTTAATTTCCTCAGGTTACCAAAAAAGTAAGTGAAATTTCCATCATTGAACTTTCATATTGTTTTCTGCAGCCCACTGAAAGTTTTGGGGTTGAGTCCGCCGGGACCTTGCATGTCTGCAGGAAGACACTGTCATCAGATTCAGGTTCATCTGCAAAGGAAGACAGGTGCTGTGGCTAAATCTTTGTTTTTGGTCAGATAGTGGATGGAAACAAGAGGGGAGCGAGTACTGTGCCTTGTGCAACAAGCTTTTCACCGTACTGCCTCATACTTTACTCTTTTAACTTCTACTCTTTGTTTTTCTGTTTGTGGGGAAAATTTATAGATTTTTAAACCAATTTTTCCTGTTTTTCCTTTTAGCACGCATTTTGTGCACTTTTAAAGCCATGGCCACTTGTCAGGCTTTTTGCAAAGCCTGATATTTTACATCGCATTCTTTTTTTCTTCTAGTGCATCTGGGACCTTGCGTATGACCCAAATGTTGAACAGACGGAGCGACCGCTTTAAAAAACCCAGTTCCCGGGGGTTTGTGTAATTGATTGGTTTCTAAGGGGTTGATTTTGCTTCTTAGGCCCCTTTTCAAGTTTTTTAGAATGGGATTTTAAACTAGGGTCTGTAGTTTTTTGCTATTGCTTTACTGCCCCTTTTGGGAGGGGGGCATGTCTGTTGTTTTTTAGAACTGGGGGACAACCCCTGTTCCATGCTCCCCTCCAAGGATGGAAAAAGCTCGTGATGGGCTTTTTGCAGTTCTTATGAACCGGAGTTCCATGTGTCTGGCCCGGGGAAAGGTCTGGCATGTATTTATTGCCTGTTAAAAGTCTTTTGGGGGTCAGGATAACATCAAAGGCTTGTGTAACCAAATTCTGTGGTTAAAAAATTCATTTTGATCTTCGACCCATCGGTTAGCGGGCTTGCTAAAAACTGGTCATTTTGGGACTGAGTAGCTCCTCACTTCCTTCTGTCATCTGTGTAGGACCCATTTTGTTTAAGGGGGGCCCAATACTGGCGTTGTTGCGACTTTGATTTGACATGGGAAAAGAAATACTTTGGGGTTTTTCTTTCAATTTCATTTAGGGTTTTTTAGTTCTTCCCCCCGCGATTAGATCCTAAAAGTTTCCCTTTAGCTTAAGTAGTTTTGCTATCAAAGACCAGTGACCCCTACCATTTCAGATATATTGGCCCTTTTGATGACAGTCACACAGCACATTTTTCACAAATTATTTATTTGAAAGTTCTGATCCCCATTCTGCTGGTGCAGCTGCTATGCTCTTTTCATACAAAATGATGTCTCCATAAAAAAAAATTTGGGATCCCAAACAAAAACAGGCCTCTACCCTTAAAAACAAACTGTTGCCATACTCCTTGCACCAAAATTGCCCTGTATGAAAGGTTGACATTTAATTTTAACTGATTCTCTATCATCTATAAATCCCCTCTAACTCTTTAAGTCTAATTGTACTACTGTACCTCATTTATTAATAGAGAAAATAATTAATTACAAACTTAAATTGTATGATCGATTGTATCATAAAAAGGATTGTAATAAATTGTACAAAACCTCATATTAATAAATATAATGGAAATATAGTACAGTAAACCTCATTTTTTTGTATGCCCGGTTTCATAGGTTTTGGGTTTTTGATTATTTTTTCCCATCAAAATTTTGTCCCATTTTCGACATGTTTGGTTTTCATAAATTTACAAGGTTTTCACCTTACGAAATGCGTCCACCTGCCCCGCCACACAAAGCACCCCAACATTCGACTGGGCCCCTGGCTTTGTTTCTCATTGAGTGAGCATTCCCCCGTGATTCATCCAAAACTTTTTGTAATCATTGTTTTTGTGCTTGTTTGAGTGCAACTGCTCAATAAGCTCAACTGACTTGCAAATTGAATAACTATCAGGGGTTCTGACACGCCCGTTGTATTTTTTGCTAAATACGCCACCAGGGGCCAAAGAAATTTCCCCCGAGTCCCACCCTTTGATAAAAAAGGGCAAAAAAAAAATAAAATTTCAGAAAGAACTCATAGCGAAGTGCAGAAGTGGCATACGGTGTCACCAACTCGCCAGGATATACGGAGAGCCGCAAAAATTTCAATCAATCAATCAAGTTTATTCTCATTAAGGTTTACAATGGGGGGTTTTTACAGTTTTTGGGGTTATTTTTGGGGTTTTCATGAAATAAAATACAATTTAAAGGGGGCCACGGGACACCAGCATGGCAGGCATTTCGAGCAACTTAGATTAACCCTTAACTCAAAATTTATTAAAATTATGGAGAAATTTGGTATTACGGCTAATGACAAAGTACTAGTTTGTGATTTACAATTAAGCTTTTGTTTGGCACAATACTCGTTTATATTTTGGAGTACACAGGAAACTTATGACAGTTGGGATTCATTATTTTAAAAATTGGGATCGTATTTTCTGTGTTTATGCAAATGGTAGTGAGTGATGTAATGTGAACCACTAGGGGTTTTCATGAAATTTATTGACGGGGTGAAAAACGGGGAGATAAATTTTTTAAGGGTTTTTTTAAAGGGATAATGTGCGCAGTTCTAATTTTTCGGGTAGGGTGTTCCAGATTTAGGGCTTTTGACATACTACATTGAATTTTTTAAATTTAGTCAAACGGGAATGTCAAGAGATTTTGTGTCTGGGTTATATCCTTTGGGGGTCCGCACAACTATCAAGAAAGCTTTTTGGGAAAGGGTTAATATTAATTTTAAAGGTCTTGTAGA